CTAGTTTGAGTAAAGGTAAAAAGAGAGCTGTATTTAATATAGTTAAGCTATCAAAATAACTTCACTCTTTATCTAATTATACAATTCTACATTGTCGTATGACGACAACCTGCTCTCACTTATTACGCGCGTCTAGCAGCGATTAGTGGTATGCTTGATTGATTTGTCTTTATCAACCAATTTTTTAAGCAACGCATGAATGTGTCCTACAAAGGGGATACTATTCCTACAACAATATCCATCTCGAACTAATATTGGAAGGATATTGTCATGCTAGACAATACCCTATTGACACCGTTTGGTGTCAATATCATGCAACGGGATACCCGTTGGACATACACCCTAATGCATCTAATGTTGCTTTTCTTTTACTTTGTATATTATTTTCTTGGATTTATCGTTTATCACGCAAATAATAATAGTCATACCGGTATTTATACTTATATTAGTTCTTCCATGTAGCCGTATATCTTTGAAGGCATCTGTTATAATAAACCGTTTGTTCTCGCTACAGTTTAGCAGATACGTGCTGTTGCTTGCTGGACAGGTCATTCATAGATTAAAACGAAATGATGCAACTTCAGAGAGACCGCGAGCATACTTCTGACGCGTTGCATCTTACACCCTACTTTCATTTTTGGTAATAAATGCTTTCACCCACAAATAGAACGCGGAAGCATTAAAATATACACAGTGAGTCTGTTTGATTATGTGCGCACACTTTCCTGCAATTTCTTTGTTGTTTATAGGTAGCAAATTGAGATCCTGATCGTGCGTTGTTCTGCGACACCACAACGAGGTTGCTCAGGCTGAGGCACAATGACTTACATTAGGCGTGATCAGTAAAGCAATGACTTTGCAGATACTTTGTGCACCCGGGCAATTGTGAAATTGGATAAGGAAGACTTTTTATCCACTTCATCTGTTATCCCAGACTGCCCGTGGGCGGTGCGGAGGAGGAACCGACCGACATCACAGGTAGTCGAAGGGAGTATTACTATTACAGTTGTGGGTAAGGAATTATTCTACTGCTATAGTGCAGAAGCCACTTAATGTAGAACAATTGTTTTGGTATTTGTACGAATCATTAGTAGACTGCATGTCGATGATCTCGATAATGACGACGTTTTAGCTACTCACAATCACCCCAACTAACAAAAAGACGAACAAGTGCACATGCACATACCAGGTAGGTCCCCTATAATTGTAAGGATAGCTTAAATTACAAGATCCATTTCACATGGGCTCTTAATAGTGCACTGCTGTCAAGCGAATATATTGTCGGAGAAAGGGTGTAAATGAAGATACGAAATATTAGATAGAAACTCTTTGGTTGTTTTACGTCGAGAAAGAGTAAGAGGTTACGGGTGTAATAGCTGGATTAGCACAAGGATGCGAATTTGACAAGAGTGCGAATGTGCAAATTGTAAGAAAAAAAAAAGGTTCGATTATATCCCCTCCCTACGTTAACATGAGAGAATGATTATAATGTTGCAAACTATAGAGTCCACCCGTGTAATGCGACGAGACTTGTCAGTGTAAAGGAAGCACAATCAATAATATACTGCCCAACAACTGCTGACACAAAGTTAAAGGTCATGTGAAATAGAGTGAGGGGCGTGATTCGTACGCAATTGACCGTAAATAAAGCGGATTATTACCTGTCAATGGGGATGCACCTAAATTAAGCGGCAGCACCGATAATGCGAGGACCGGCACGCAAAGATTTGAGTATCAAGTGTTTACATTCAGCTATCTGGAATAGAAAGTGCCATAAGCGATCAATGACGCCGTAAGCATCATCGTAGTTGGTAGGTGATCAACAACAGCATAGTGTAATCGCTGTTTACAAGTACGAGGCACTTTCGCACTTGTGCATGCGCTCTCAGTAAGCTTGTCCAATTATTGTTGCACTATATTGGTCCAGACTGACAACCAAACACGGCCAATACTTCAGCTCGAAAGCGAGGGAGCAATTATAGGACGCACTTGTACGGTTTTCATCATTTATGACTAATGGTAGTTACATGGCTTGCTAGCCTCTGCTTTCATCGCATCATTGCGTATAATGTACAGTAATGCGTATATGGGCTGCATCATGCGGGTCACTTGCAACGAGAACATCGATGCGATGATTGGTACATGCCTGCGTTTCGGTCACACCTTTTTCACTTGACATCACAATGTACTGATCGTGTACTGAAACAGTGCGCTTTTACGCACTGCAAATTTGATGATTTGCACACTGCATGTTTGGGTGCGCTCTGCAACCCCCTATTCAAATCACAGTTTACGATGTTTACAAAATTAGTCTTGGATGATACCATACAACCTGAACGTGAGGGAAAACCACACTCCATTGTAGTTCCAAGCATTTACATGCTCCTTAATTTTTAACATTCTGCGTGTGCTTTGCGATCTATCGTCTGACTGTACGCCGTTGCAATCGCTTCAACCAATCGGGGAGGCTAGCTCATCATGCGTTGGCAAATCCAGGTTGGTCCGTAACCTTCGTAGCAAGCACATTTCATCGTTGTTGAATCCGTGAGACGTGTGCACAAGAAGACTGACCTTGACGAGGTAGTTGGTCAAAGAAGTCACGATTTGATTCGCAGACTTCCGTCATTGGTCTGCGCTATTTGCTTCCAAATCTGCCTTAGCTCCTCGCGAAATACCATCCACCACATATCGATTGTCGACGGCGTGTTCCCGCACTGAGGGTGCCGATTTTGCGATGGTGTTGCAAAGAAGACGCGAAGAGAGTGGTCGGACGAGTCGTTCTTTGCAGGCTCCACACAATTGCCAATACTTCGATCTACACATTTCACGGTTAACAGGTTATAAACAGTAGTGAACAGCATAATGCAGCCACGACGTACCGAAAAAAGAGACCCTCCAGGCATCGCAGGAACGAAAAGCTTCATACCAAACTCAAGACGCTGTTGGATGTAAGCTGTAGTGCTCCACTTTACGAGCGTTTGCCTCCCCCATTCTGGATGGGTAAACACCCCGTGGGACTCTCCCAGAAGCATCGGTACTTCCATTGCAGATTTCTAGTTTATCGCCAATACGAGTGTTATTGTATTGCGCGACTACCGGTGCCGGCGAATCGTGATTCCAAGCCTTAACAAATGCATAGTACTGGAAATCCTCAACTCGTGCTACCCAACTCCGGGTATTCCATTCAGTGGCATTCGAAACACCTGTTTGCGTATGTATCCGTTCGTTCGCTTATATGGTTGTCCAGGTGATACGATGGCTCGCCAGGCACTTATATCCACCTCCCCCCTCGTGCCACTATCAGCGTGAGGAAGGCGGAAATAAGACAAAGCATCTGACAGTAACGCCTCAAAAAAATAGTGCTGCCGTCACCTTACTGCCCAAGTCTTCGTCAAGAACCCCCACAAACGCCTCCGGTTTGCTTTCAAAAAAAAGGAATAGCAGTCATGGTAGCTGCTACTGCATGCAGAGGCTTAGGACGTACCGAGGATTGCCGACAGGTAAAATGACCTCCACGGTAGCTGGACCGGTAAGGTGCTAAGATTGTCCGAAAGCAGATTCGTATCCGCAATCGCAGATACAAGGCCCTTAATAGCTTCGAGAGCAAATGCTTGAGGCAGCATAACCAAATCCTGATGCCTGCGGCACTTTCCCGTGCGCCTCGAACGAACGATGAACACGAGTTGCTGTTTTGCTGCCAAAGCGGTAATGCAGTTCGTAGATTCCGCTTTGTCGAAGCCATCGGCGTTCAAGATGGGATTCTGTCGCTCACCTGGTGACACGACGCGGTGTCTTGCACTTGTCTCTTTGCAGCAGCTTTAATATTGATGTACAACTGCTTTGAACGCCGTTTAGAGCCCCACGCTCAATCTGTGCCTTGAGCTTTATGTGTCTTGAGAAAACAACGCTTGCTCGCCACCGAATTTGTAAGGCCGAATTAACCTCTTGACCTGGTAGACAAGACATGATTGCATCGCTCGATTGACACGCTTGCCTCTTTGCATCCGTCTTGTCATCTAACGGAATGTCTTCGACCTCCATAAGCACCTCAATCGAAAAACAATTGCTATACGGAATGCCACGAGTATACATCTTGGTCCGCAGTGCGGCCTTATGCGAAACTCGTTCATCCATACTATCCACCAAGTCATCATCAGTGTCAACTGTGCACGAGTGATACTGCTCTACAATTGCCGCCTTTAAATTGTTTGATGCAGCACTTTTCGCAGGGCCCCCCTGCAATTGCCAGCACTTGGACGTTGGATGTTGGACACGGCACCAGCATCAGCGCGATAGCAAAGTGCACGTATCATTCCATAGCGTGGATGCGCGTGCCAGTCACAAAGCAAGTCATAACAGCCTTTTTCTTCTCTATACCTACATCATCACATTCAACACAGGAGGTTGCTGCGACAGTATCAGGTAAGCCAGATTTTATCAGTACTGACCGGTCAATCGCGCATTTAACGCGTATCAGGCGTGGAGCTACAATCTCGAGAAAGTCGCTCACAGTCGAACCAGGGACCCGTTGCAGTCATAATTTCACTCATAATCGCGCTTCAGGTGTTTCCAAAAATGGTTGCGTCTGTCCTGAATCGGTAAGCTGCTGCGTTCGTGGCGAAGCAGCATCAGTCTGATTGAACCGCACATCCGCGATTCATCTCGCAAGCGTGTGAAATGTGGCGTCTTGGGCTTAGAGCAATGTTCCAATTGAGCGAGGTGATCTGTCGGGCTATAGGGACGAAATCCCTCGAAAGTGGTTCATCCCATTCTCACTGATCGTCGTCCAATTTTGAGCTGTTAGAGCCAATGGTGTAAATCCGAGCTGCAGACGAATCTGGTGGGCTGATCAAATTGCCGGACGAAGTAGACGCCACACATGGGAAGCTTAATTTTGTCGATTGACTTGCAATCTGCTCAGTTTCAAACTTTTAGTACTTTTGCTCTTTTGAGGTCCTTGATGACTGGGAAAGAAAACCCAGAGGAGAGAGCCCGTTTTGTCAGCGACCCACATGCCTTTTCCGAATCAGGCAGCACTCAATAGGAGATGCCACCGCTGGACTGCAGTTTTCACTGGTCGCGGGCGCCCAGAGTGCTGCAAACTTGAAACGTCTCCACGCGTGCCCTTTTTGCTGTTCTGGCTTGAGTTTCTGCATGAGGTTTTGTGTTTAAATCGCTGAGCGGAACCGAAAAGAAGAACACCACGATGACTGCGACGCTTTATGTGCTTGAATGACTTGGAAAGACACGCTGGGGTTTGACTACGACGTGAACGCGGGCTTTCGTTGATGCGTGGTCGTAAAGAAGGACCCTGTCGCCAGGTTCAGCAGGTAGATTGAAGCACGTTCCCTGTAATAAAGGGGCTAGAGTCTGTGTATTAGTCCTTTTAACGTCCCCGCTTTTCTTACCTGAAACTTCGAACGGCCAGGTACCTCGTTAAACGTTACCCCCCCCCCTACGATTCCCTAAGGACCGCGAACTGGAAGACTCTGTTTGATCCAGTAGCGGTC